ACCAGACCTCACAAGACCGTCACCAGACCACCTGTCGGATTTCAACTTTCAAGTCACAAGCCGTTGAAATGAACCTCAACAAGAGTATTCCTGTCACTGACCACCCTGCAACTTGTGGCTGGTCTCGTATCTGGTTTTGTGATTGTGTCAACTACAACAAGAACGTCAGCAGCGTTCTCTTGAATAAAGAACTTGACTGGACTGGTAGTATCACAGTACCCATGCCTTCTCCAGCTGCTTCCCCACAGCAATCAAGTTGAATCATCCACTTCACCCTCCCATGGACTCAATGGATTCCAAACATTATAGTCTTATCAACTTACGGCACTGTGCAACAGTATGGGCTACGGGGAGTGAAGCTGAACAGTGAATGGTAAGTAATTCTTTTTCTGATGAATTTTGGAAAATTTACCATGGCAAGATTTAAAAGATTGGGGGGGAGGAAAGGGCATAAAATGTCACCCTGCAGAGTCCACCATGTGACAGGAAACAAAAGCCAGAATCTCTCAACTTTTAAGCGCTAGTGTCAGGACTGCTGTCCTTAATTCTACTCCTTCCGACATGTTATGGTCAATTCTGAAGAATAATGACATGAAAACTAGAAATTGGAAAGCATCAGCTCAGTATACAAAATCAAGTACTCAGAGCTAGGTTGGACAAGGACCTAGAAACACGGTTATTTTACCTCATTTTTGACAGAGTTAAGATGTCCCTCATCCCATTCTTGTCCCCCCTGCTCTGCATAGAAATTGGTACAGTCCAAGATGATGCCGCAGTCTTCCCCACTGCCCACCATGCTGGCAAATCCCCTGTCAGTTTTTAGCGCTAACACCCGTGCTGATACTGGTGGGAAAACTACAGAAAAAAGTTCATATTGTTTAAGTGTGACCTCAGGCCAACTCTGGTGAGTTTCTGAAAGGTCTCTCAAGAAGTTGTGCAGCAACACTAGACGATGCTGTATAAACAATACAAACAAGCTGTGTAAGGACACATCCCACATGTGCCCGGGCTGTTACTGCGCTCGGGGGACAATTTCTTTTGTAAGGAAAGTCAGGACCGAGTTATAAGACCAAAAATGACATTTTTTGGTCCCGGCGACATTTATGTTTTAATACATGTGCTGTCCTCACAACTACAAAGCAAGTACGTGTAATCCAACACACTGTGTCAAGCCTTGCAAGTTTCTTGTCAAATAAAGCCATCAAAGCCAGTGAGCTCCTTGTCGCGCTCTCTGATTACGATCGATGTGAAATGAACGAAGGTTTTATCAGGACAAATCAAGCCTTTATTTGGTTAACATGCTGTCCGCTCTTGGGTTTTGCCAGCTATCGTCAAGGTGTCTCACCGTATTTCCCAGAGTCTGTGTAGGTGAAGTGGTACTTGGGAGAGTCGTCAGTAAACTTTACTTTCTTCTTCTGCAACATGCTCAGATCGGTTGCATCCAAGCGTATCCGTGGAAGTTGGCCAAGGTTCTTGATTCCTCCTTGAGATGTTATCTGTGAGATGAATGATTATGAAAACATCTCATTCCTTGAAGGAATGATCAACAACCTATCAAATAAATAACCGATGCCAATGTCAAAGGAATAATCAATACTAGAATCAATAAGCGATTAAAAATGTCAAGAAATAAGTATTGCTATCAGGAACCTCATTAGAACAACCAATACTTAAATCAAACAACAGGCATAAATGAATAATCAATAAACAGTCATTCAACTAGTAGCAATTGATACCAAAGATCAATATCAGTCATCAACAAAAACATCATACACATGATGCCACCATCATCGCATCTTACCTCCAGTGCTTTTAACCTTGCTGCCTCGTATCCCTCCATGTCAACCTTAACCCCATGCTCCTCAGCCACCATCGTTGTCAAATCGAGAGGGAAACCATATCCATCGTACATCTTCCATGCAATCTCACCTGTATACATAGCAATGTACATGGACATGCAATCACAGTTGTAACCAAATCACCATTAGCCAACACAAGTCATTATTAGTCATAACATGTCATCTCAGACATCATAGGTCATTGTAAGTCAACACAAGTCGTCACACGTCACCATTAGCCATCACAATTCACCATAAGCCATCTTTAGTCATCACAGATCATCCTTAGTCATTACAAGTCACTACAAGTCATCACACGTCACCATGAGCCATCTTTAGTCATCACAGATCATCCTTAGTCATTACAAGTCACTACAAGTCATCACACGTCACCATTAGTCATCACACGTCACCATGAGCCATCTTTAGTCATCACAGATCATCCTTAGTCACTACAAGTCATCACACGTCACCACAAGTCATCACACGCCACCATTAGTCATCACACGTCACAATAAGCCATCTTTACTCATCATAAATCACCCTTAGTCATCACAAGTCATCACACGTCACCATTAACATCTGAAGTCTTCACTGGTCACCATTAGCCATTACAATTCATCTTTAGTCACCACAGATCATCATAAATCCCCGCATGTCATCAATAGTCATCACAAGTCCTTACACGTCATCACTAGTTATGACGAATCATTGAAACACAGCAGCAAGCCTATCTTAAGGCATTCATTCTCAACAAACTGGGGCAAGAAACTCCTTGGTAGCATTCATACTGTATCTTCAATACTTTTAATATGACTTGCGATCTGGGAAGTGATTGACTAGTGATTGGATCCTTGATGACGAAAGAAACAGCACTTCAAGTTGTGTAAACTGCACAAGACAAGCATATGCCATTCTCTTTGCTCATAATTTGTTATTTGGACTGATGTAAAAATGAACAACCCAACCGACAAAGTGAGTTTGACGTCCCAAGGTTTAAATTTTCTGTAGATGAAATCATTAGAAACCATCACTTTTTTATTCACATATCATCCGATTTGTCATGAAGTCAAACTGTCTGACATATAAACAGAAAAGCAGCGTCTTCTTTTTCACATGCGTGTGAAATTGAGAGAGTAAACAAAATGTCACTGAGACTCGATAGGATCCAGCCACAGTGTACTGCAAGAGCAAAAATGACTCACATGGGACCCGATAGCTCAGTGAGCAAAATAATTTGGCTGGTTACATTTTTTCCAGAGGTTGTGGGTCCCAATCCAACGGTAGCAAGTCTTACTGTCACTGTACCTGTCAGTTTTGATCCTTGTGGCAACTTGGAAATCTTTTTGGACAGGAATTTCTGGCCCTTTCTCAGGGTTTTCAGGAACTGGCTCTCCTCGGTGTTGATGATGTCCACGATGTGCTGCGGATCCTGCCTCAATTCTGGATACATAGTTCCCTGTAAGAATTCAATGTGGAAAACATGACACTAATCACGATAAAAGGATGGGGCCTTTAACAGGTGAATACACTGTACAAACTCAATCTTCTGATCACATCCCTCTGCTGGTCAAGAAACCCATGATGCATTCTTTGTACTTAAACCATAGAGCTATATGTAAAAACTAGAGCGCTGACTCATGTACAAAGCGTTGCCTGCTGGGTGCATTCATTTTTGGCACAAACCCATGGAAAACTCAAATATTGTATGGCTTTTGTACAGTTATTTGCATACCTGCATCTGTATTCTAAAACGATATGTCAACAAAGCCGATGTACAAACAACCTGAACAAACAATCAGTAAATGGGCGTTTCAGTTTGCTATGGGAAAAAACACAAACGCGTGCGTCGTATGCACTGCAGATAATTTTGCCGAGACTTTTTTAATCAGATTGTATCAGCAGACACTGCCCGTTGCATTCGGAGTGCATAATTTGATATTCATTCAATCTGATTTCAAATGTTCTACTAGCAGGAACATGGAATCTACACCCAGATCTATGACTGCAACATGCAAGATACATCAAGCCTATTGTAAAGTCACACAGGCTGGGCTCTACCTTCTTCACTCTGTTAATGCTGGCTTACCAAAGAGTCCACGACCGTGGGAACCAGACTAGCCAGGAGTCCTGGAGGACCCTTCAGTTTCTCGGTTGCATACCGGACAGCTCTACGGATGACTCTCTTCAGCACGTACCTAGGGAAATCAAACCCCCTGTTACAGTTGGACAGCCACTGCATTTCTTCCAGATTTACACAACCAATGGCCTGCACCTTACTGATAAATGGCAAATTCGTTGACACAGATGAGGAATGCTCCAGACAAACTGTACTGGGTAAAGATATGGAGCTAACTGAAATGACGTGAGCTTTAGATAATGTAACATACAATTAGAACTTGAGGATATTTCAGCAAATACCTGGAAATTTGGCAATCCCTTCTTTTAGGACCCTCTTTCCTTACATAACGTTAGAGAACTCACATGTCTGTTGTTGCCAAAACTTGGAATTTCAGATTTTTTGTTCATGATAAATGGCCATGTAAAAATAAGTGTAAAAAAAAATTCTTGTCAATGCTGCCAAGGTAATTTTGGATTGATATACATGCTGTAAAAGGCAAAAAATGAGTGGAAGAAAAACGTACAGGTGACTTTTTGGACACCTCTACGCAGGTGTCCAAAAACTCATCTAAGTCATCTTTCTCACGAGAACCAAAAATCTTACCCTCGCTTGAAATAGTCGGGCTGCCCACCATCAGCTATGGCTATTGTCAGCATCCTAGCATGGTCTGCCACTGCTCGATAGGCTGTGTCGATGTAGTCCGGGTCTGCAGCACCAGTTAACCCACTGTAAGGCCGTGAACCAGACCCCTGCAGTAGGACAATAACCCATACGGTGATTTGAATTCAAAGAGCCACCACATGCAAAGTCATACACCTGTCCACAACTACCCATTCTCGTAATGACAACGCAGAAACTTCAACACAGAGCAAGTTTATCAACAACTTGATTTTCCCTGTCAACCTGTGCAGAAAATTTATCCTTTGCATCGGGCAAACTCCGCAAGTTGACAAATGGCTATGGCTGAAACTTGTGCACAAGAGCAGCAATATTTTCTTTCACTTCTGCTTAGACTGCACTTCGCAAAACTGGGGGGGGGTATTGACATGCAGGAGTAGAGCTGACTGCAAGAAAAACATTAGTTATTGAGGATGAACACAGCTTAAGAAGTCCTTAATATCCAGGGTTAACAAGCCAGATTTCAAAGTGCCAACGCCAGTAGCTTCTTGCGTGGAGTGTGAAAGAACGTTCCACTCACGGACTGTATGTGGAACAAAGGGATACACATGTATTTGTAAGAGTCCTATTGATGTAAGTGGGTGTGAACGTGGAAGCACATGGAGGTGCATTTCTGGCACCAAACTTTGAAGAAGATACATAGGTTCTACCATGGTATCATGTGCTCCAAGTTACTTGATGCTGGGTGACCAAACTGTATACGTACAAGTGTACAAAAGTCTTACACACAACGATGCACTAGCCGCTTCTTTGATGTTTAGTTTGGACGGCTACTTACACTTTCAATCGCCTTGATTAGTGGCAAGAACAAGTCTGTCTCGTAGTTGGAGCTGACTCCCTGAAGTATCGCCACCAATCTCTCCAGTCCCATGCCAGCATCCACGTGTTGCTGTGACAACCGCTTCAGACTGCCATCAGCTTGCCTGAAAAACAGGACCATATGTTTTTAATTAAAGTTCAATTCCCACCTTACTTCCTAGGCGTTATTCCTTGGAACCCTCCTGAATCCTCACTGCAACAAAAGCACTGATTCAGTACATCTTTGTTCATGAACTTGATAGTTTGCCAAGGGGATCAAGCCCCATGTAAAGGACTCTGATAATGGCTTGACTGAATTTTCATTAACCAGCAGAAGTGCCCACTACTGTCACCAGGTGTCGATTCGTACTTCCAAACAACAGTGATGCTCTATCCGAGCAGAGACGTACCGGTTGTGTTCCATGAAAACCAGATTCCACACCTCCAGGACATCCGAGTGCAGATCATTGACCAGATGAGAGGCATCTCGGTTACCATGCCGATCGTAATGAATCTCACTGCAGGGTCCGCAGGGGCCACTCCCCCCCATCTCCCAGAAGTTGTCGGCGATTCCAAAAGGAAGCACTCGCTCTGGAGGCACACTGTGGAGTTGAGAGAACCACAAACAGGGAGTTATTCATAAAGCAATAAAACCTAACTTCAAATTACTGTATCAAAAGCAAGTTCTTCCATGGGTAATTTTCATTAGGAGCCTTCTAGATTCTGATTAAAATCCAGTGCATTGTAGTTAGCAGACAGCATTCTTTGTACATGAACCAAACTCCATACCAAGTAATAGTGACTAGTTCATCTGTATTAAATCTTCCAAAATGCACTCCTCCTAACAGAGGAGTGAATTTGCTTTTATATTTCATTCTGTTGAATGATATCATATACAATCACCGTCATGACTGTCTGCGTGCTATCGGCGATCATTAAAACCACAATGGAAACTAGGCTTCACACAAGAACCATATTTAAGGCACAGTGCATTGGATGAACCCAAGCCTGGGCTCTACGTAGTTACATGGTTTATCCTGCCACTTGCACTGACTGCTGGTAATCCAACATCGGCAGCGGGCATTAGTCCGTGTCACTTGGACTCCACGATTGCCTTTTTAAATGTTTGGACATGGTCCACTATTTCCTGAGTGGCTACCCAAAGCTACCCACCGTTATGTCAGTTAGGAAACAGTCACTGGCATTTGTGTACAGACACGGCAGGCTTTTTGTGAATGGTCTGCTGGGAAGGCGCGTAGTGACGTCGTCCCTAGAATATCAACATACATTTTGAATGAAGAAGATGAAGAAGATGGCAACTTTGAACTCAGCCGACAAGCATTTCTGATTTCAACGGAAAATTTGTTCCCCATATGTGAGTAAACTTTATCCCCTTCATTGTAATCTGTGATTCCCACTGAATCCCAAAGTGGTCGCATTAGACAGTTTTAGGACTGCTTGAGGGATGAATTCTGAGGATTTTGACTCAGGGAATTAGCTATTTTGAGTGAAATAAATTAATGGAAAGGAAAGCCTATTGAAGGTACCTGGACTCTCCTATCGCTCACCATGTCCAAATGTAACAAAAGGCAATTCATAGAGTCCAAGTTACTCAGGCTAAGTGCGAATCACGTTTGCTAAAAGTAGGGTTTGGATTAATGGTTCCGATGATTCGTATTTGAAAATAAATGTCAAAGTGGCAAAGATAAAAATGTGCAGAACAAAGCAAAGAAATATTGCCACCGTCTGAATGGGTTACCCAAGCTCAAGCCATATATCTCTGCACTCTGTGTCAGCCTCAAGGTTCAGTGAAGCATCACCCTTGAAGTATGTGACATAGAGCTGGTCCTCGGGTATACCATACACCCTGGTCAACAGGTCCCAGGCCATCGAACAAGCCTCTCTCTGTGAGGTAAATATCGGAGAAAGGTGAAGTTAAAACAACAAGCCAGCAATGTTTGCTGATCAAAATTTGATTGAAAATTGACGCAGCTGCTTCCCAGGCTAAGTACAGACAATCTCAGGAAGAAGTATACAGCACGTGGACATTACAATGCCAATGACATTTCACTTATTTCACCTACTGGTTTGCAATACTTCAACTAGTGTTTTGTGATTTATCAGTGGGGGAGACCTACAGATGGTTGAAAACAGTTGAAGGACACACGAGTGCTACCAGTTTGCACCGCTCAAAGATGTTGAGTAACTTTTTGTCTGTACCTTGAAGTAGTCTCCAAATGACCAGTTGCCAAGCATTTCAAAGAATGTGTGGTGGTGTACGTCCTTTCCCACCTCATCCAAGTCATTGTGCTTGCCTCCAGCCCGGATGCACTTCTGAGAATTGACGACGCGGCGATAGTTAGCACCCTCTGCATGGGGACTGATGGTGCCTTGAAAAATGTCCTTGAACTAGTGAAAAGGGAAAAAAGGGGTATACATGTAAGTGTTTAACCCTAACGCTAATACTGCAACAGGTTGTAACAGGTGCACCAATTAGCCGTCAAGATAATGGAAGCTATCTACAGGTGTAATCCCATATAGCAATGCCAGTGTTGGAGTTTGCGATGGCTGGCAGGTTGGCACTCTGAGGTAGTTAGGCCCTCAGGCCCAATGGGTAGTTTAACTGTTAGGTCTCATTGTACTGTGCAGACTTTTCATTTTATAAATACTGTATATTGTTAGTTTTGGGAAAGTTTCAAGCAAAAAATATTGTAGCTGGATATGAGTAGAATGGTAATGTATACGCAGCCCAACATGATTTAATAAGATCTCTTCTGCAAAACCTTTTACCAACAGAGCACAAAATGTCTTCGGGAAGATCAAGTTAGGGAAAAGACATCTTGAAGTTCAAACTGTCCAATCATTTTGAGCTTTGAGAAATGTTTCCTTCATCCGGTGAAGCTAGCATCTATTTTTCCTTTTTCTAAAACAGTTCAAACCTTTTGCTGTACTATTACCTGGTGGAGACAAGGTGGATGTGAAACCCTTTCATTTAGGCCACTTTATTAGTTCAGACAAAAAATTTTCAGCAGGTGTAACTGGTTTGGGGTTGCATGTATTATTTAACAAAAATACCAGCATGTTGATTTAAAATGTCATTCACTGGCCATGCTTCAGTTTTGTTTTCAGCTTTGAGCTTTTATTAATCAAACCAAGATGATTTTATCAAACCAAGATGTTTCAGAGATAACAGCTTTTCTGCAAATGGGCTTCATACCTGATTCATTCCTGCATTTGTGAAGAGCAGTGTGGGATCTCGCTGGGGTATCACAGAGGCTGAAGGTATGAAAGTGTGTCCATGCTGGTCTCTGAAATACTCAATGAAGGTCCGTCTGATCTCACTGGAGGATAGAACAGTCCCTGCTGGTTTGCCTCCCAGTGCAACATGTGGGGAGATGGGATGGGTTTCGGAGGTGGAGCTATCACTGGACAGATGTCTCAGGGCGAGACTACAATGCCCATGTCGGCTGTGGTACCGGCAGAACTGCAATAATGGGGGTAGCGTCCTCGAGAAGGTTACTATGGGAACCATGATGAAGCAGTAGTTTGGTTGCTACATGTTGAATACCAGGCCACTTTACTACGGGAGATAAAGAAATCAAATTTGTGTACAATTAAAACCTTAACAACCCACTACGTATGCGCAAAAAATGTCGAGCTTAAAAAACAATGATACATGATTTGCATTGTGTAATGCGAAAATACTCCAGGATTTATGAAGCGCCCTCGCAGCTTTTGGCGTTCACTTGTTTTGGTCTCTGCGTAAATATGAAATATTACTGCGTATATAGTATATCTTGGCTCGTTTTGCAAAAGAAGTCAATTTGGTGATTCAACAAGGCACTCTGGTTAAAAAATCATAGAAACATGTTTGCTACGCATGCAGAGAAGGCTCACTTGGAAGTATTACATGTACATGAGAACTAGCAACCAGTCCCCGATGTCCATACTGGCCTACACTGTGTTTCTGAGGAGCAGGTACCTGCTTGACCAAACTGGCTCAATGCCAGAAATATAGTACAGGTACAGACAGGGTAAACGGTTAAAGTGTCCAATATCCCAAAGTAAGGATGCAACATTCAGTCTCCCTGTAGTAACTGCTGTTCTGTGAAAAACCTACCCAAAGGACCACCCATTGTTCTAAGGATTTGAAGAAACCCCCAATTTAGGGCTGAGTCAATTCAAATAATTCACTATTCAAATATTCAACCTTCAATTTGATCAAATATTCAAATATTCGGCCATACCTACTGGCAGATTGTTGATAAACAAACCATATACAAAATCAGTAGCAATAACACACACATTTGTACATTATGATCAATATAATAGCTTCTCATATCTAGAAGTATCTCCAGCCACAATTTAGCAAGCTTTAAGAGATGAACAAGACTTCTTGCCCTGTTGAAAATTTCTATTTCTTTTAAATTGTTTAATGAATAAGTTTCTTTTTAAATCGTTGTAAGATTTCTGATGCTTTTCATTTGAACCTGCTTAAAACAAGCCTCCACAGTGCAATTGTTCTCATTGAAAACAACAGAATTTTTCCTTTCCTTTTCAAGAATTTTGCATTCAAATAATCAATTCGAAAAATAATATTCTAATATTCGACAATCGATCAAATGTTCGGTTATTCAGATATTCGGCACAGCCCTACTCCAAATCATCCCGGTGATAGTGCTGATGTGTGTACTACGTGTACCCGATGCACTACAGGTCATCTGTGCTGTGCATGACTTGTGCATTCATTTTATGAAGTGGTACACAGGTGAAGTAAGTCTTTATGGCGTATCTGCTCGTCACACACACTGCAGACTAAAACTTGATTCAGTTGAACGTACAAGTCCAATGGAATGGTTCTGATGGTTCTCAAGTTCTTGGACTTATACGTCTCTCTCTAAAAAAAATCCATGCCGCCTGATACCCTGTGCACCACTACCTACAGAACTGTGGGGTTCGACGTCTGCTGTGTAAGGACGCACATGTAGTTCTGGAAGTAGGGGTAGTGCACCAACCCAGAGACTATTCTCAAAAAATCTGTTATCTAAGTGAATACCTCAATATTTTGCTGCTAAACTAGACATTTTAGGGCGTAGAAGGAAATAGAAGGAAAAATTAGATTTACGCGGTCAGACTCATCTAACCAGATGACAATGACATTCTTTTGTCAAACTCCAGGCTTAATTCTCAGGAAGAGAGCAGGGTTTGATTTTTGAGGGAAACTATGGGGCGAAAATGACAACATCGACACAGACCATGCATGCACACATCCGCTAAAAAAAACATGGCGATACTGTTAAAACGTGCTTGGTAGATTCTCTCTGATTGGTAACAGAAAAGTTTCATTAAAAAGCCTTCCTCTGATTGGTTGAGATGAGGCAATTGGGGAGTAAGCGTATTGAAAATAACAGCCAGACCACATGCGCATGTGTGCACATGGTGATATAGTAAAACCTGCTTGGTAAGATCTCTGATTGGTTGGAAACATGCAAAGGGCATGTGCGTGTGTGTCCAGTTGACCTTGCGTTTATGTTGAAAGATATAGGTATTAAAGAAAGTCATATTTTTTCTCCTGATTCAGTCTTCCAAATGTGACCCAAATACTATGAAATATAGAGTTGTTACGCTCCAACTGTAGTTGGAGCGTAACATAGCATCAGTCCCAACTATAGTTGGGACTGTCCCAACTAGAGTGCTACAGTTGGGCCGGTCCAACTACAGCACTGAGGTCCAGTGTGTACATGCCCAGCATGTGCCAAAGAAAGTCATATTTTTTCATCTTATACTGAATTGTGTCAAGTGTGAGATGCATAAACTTGGATAAGGTTGAGATATTTTCTATAGAAATTGGTCAACAATAGTTGGGCCAGCCCAACTGCAGCACTACAGTTCGGGCTGTCCCAGCTATAGTTGGGACAGATGCTATAGTTGGGGCGTAATTACAGGGTCATGACAGTCAAGAGATATTGCCGTCTTAGGGGCCAACCTAAGTTTAAGGCTTAATCACTAAAACTAAAAACAGGGCTCGGGTTCCGCAGTTTACAAACCCCCATTTTAGGACATTTTATTTCTTTCAGATGGCTAACATATATATGGGTTACTGCAAGGGGAACTTAGTGGCATCTGTACGGCCCCATTCTTTCCATAAGCATTATTAACGTTGTCATAGGCCCCCGAATTTAGTACGCCTAGGCCCTAAGTTGATGATCATGTCGGTGAAGCCTTACGCCGGTAACGTAAACCACGGCGTAAACGTTAGTTTGATTGTCGGAGTATGTTCCGTTATTTGAAATGTCTCACACCATACCATTTTCTGCAAAAACTCACCAGTACATCAAGACACTTAACCAACAAAACATGAGAAGTTTGTTAAATTTATGGCTCAATTTATGAGGCGAATGAAAGCGGAAAGCTACAGCAAGTGCCAGCCACTGCCGCCATGTTTACATTCCTAACGTTGAGGGCGCTTTAGTTGTAAACAAACGCACGTGCTTCCTAGAAAGTCTGTGATCATAATTGTGTTACTTCACGTTCTTGATAAAAATAAGTCATGCAGCAGCGTTTATTTCTTCTTCACTGTCATTTTCTGTAAAGTCGTTTTTTGTGGTAGGGCTTGTGACTACTGACAAGAAATGTTAAGATCTACTCTAAACCAACTAACCAACCAATTATTGAATTGAGTTTAATTAATTGTAGAAACGTGGACATCATTTTTCACATTTCCAAAAATCTGTGCCTAATGAACATTTTTAGGACAACCAACTATGAAACCAATGAATGCGTATGTAAAGACAAGATTGACAATTAAAAATCACTGCATTTAATGACTCATTCTTTTTCCTACAAATTTACATTCAACTCTGCCAAAATTGAACACAGGACTATTTACAAATATTTAAAGTTATTCAAAAGTGAATATAAACTTACATATAAAAAATGAAGTATCCTTCTGTCTATTCTTCAATTCTTTCAAATAAAGATTGCTTAAAGTTTTATTTTTAGTCTTACATATGCATGAATGTTTGATAATCTAAGGACTTTATTTGTCATCACAAATGGAGGTTTGAAAAAATTACCCTTAAAATGGAAATCTTAAAGTGGAATCATCAATTTGTCTTATGTTATCGACATTTTAAGTGCAAGGATGTACCATTCTACATTCTTAATAACCCTCTCAGCACCATCTGCATGTGCATGTAAGTAAGGCTTTGAATCTCCACATACTTTCCATACACAACCAAGCAGCCAGACATCACCCAAGATCTGAAGGCATGAGACGTTGTCTTGAATAACCTGCAAATGGGACTGCCAGGGTTAGGGCACGGGGTCTGTTGCCTCAAGCTAACCTGGGCCCACCCCAAGTAAAGTGGAGTGGTTCTGCTCTATTCACAAAAGCCATCTTTGTGTTTGTATCTACTGGACACGGCTTGTACCTCAACTTGCAAGGGGCGTGTTCTGCTGTTGATTGATTGTTCATACATCTGTCTTCCTCCGTAACGGCCCATCACAGTGAGAGTTGCATCAGTGCCTGAAAAATACCACAACAGCCAAGTGGAGATCATCGATACTGCTTGTAGTCAGTTCTCTTCTGTGTTCACAGAGGTGGTTTTCTGAAGGCTTTAGCCATTTTGGGAAAACATGATTTAAATATTTTATAGAAGTATTTAAGGATTATTTCCACCAAAGTGTTTATATTCAAGATTAAATACTGGTCAGTTTCAAAACTAGATTGTGAGAATGAAACCTTGCAATTGTGCAACCAAACTCAACAAATTGATTTTGAAGTCACACCTGCTGCTTTTCAGGCATAACACATTAAAAAAGTGTTTCACGATGGAACTCAACAGAAACTGTGAACATTATCACATGCACAATGTCAGCATGTTGTGTCAACTGGAAATTAGATTTGTGAGATCAGGTTGCATTAGACATACATTCCATCTTTCAAACTCACCTGAATTCATAGCACCGGGCTTCCCAGAATAGTCCGGCACATCATACTGGCTGGGGATGATGTACACACCTGATAAGTGGCCCCTGACATTTGGGGGCTCAGTGCGTGGGTGGATGGTCTCTCGCCGGGTCACGGTGCACTCATTGGGTAGTGGCCGACGCCGGTCTGGGTTGTCCAAGGGGGACATGAACTCCTGCCACTCCAGACCAGTGGTGATTGGAGCAGCCAGGCGAGGGACCGTCATGGTGCGATCAATGCTTGTGTTAATGTACGGGGCAATTTCCTGTTGGTGGAAAAATAATGGGATCACATTTGAAGGTTGCTAATAGACAAATCTCTTTCAATTTATATTTTTTTGTCCCTTTTTGGAGCTGACGGTTCAGGTTTGTGATGGGCAGAGTTGGGAGTGGGGACATTAAGGCAAATAAGTATGATGCAAACTTTGAGGTGATTTAGCCATCTGTTACAGAGGTGTCTGGACATACAGTTCAGGTGGAAAGAAGTGAAATTTTGCCACTTACCCTTCTAAAATTCCGGAATTCGTACAGGTGTTTCGTGCACATTGTTTCCAGAAAAGCTTCATCAAGAGCCTGTCGACCTCGACTTGCACTGCAGCAGTCGCCTTTGAGGTCAACCAAGGCATAAGCGATTTCAGAGAGTTTGGTGATCAAATCTACCAAGTGAAAACCAAAATAAATGATAAAAAGCACAACAGAAACAAATGTCTGTATGAACTGTTGGCTATTTAAAGCCTACTTCCTGATATCTGCAAAAATTTAAAGCTCTCCGCATGGCGATACATTATCTAATTTGGGAAAATATTGCTTTTCTTCAACAGAAAGTGAATATTGAAAAAGCTTTACCAAAATATTGAATTTTTTTTCAGTCCTAGCTCTGTGCTTTTTAAATTCTTGTTACCAAGACTGGTTATACATCTATAGATGCAGAAGAGTGGTGTCAGAGAATTGCATCCTTTTCTAGAAACCAAGCACAGTTTTCCTTGCACGGGACACTTGAAAATAAGCAAGCTGGTGTACAAAGCTTATTTTTCTTTCGTAAAACTGTTTATGTATGATTCTGCCAAATAATTGTATCTTCCCCTCCAATCCATTCTCCCGTCTTTCCCTTAAAAAATCACTAATGACTGTAACTCCTTGAACATTCTCACATTTATTTTCTGACTCATGGTCTGCTCTCCAGAAGTGATGGTGGTAATTATCTCTTGTTTCCTCATAGGCTCTGTCTCTTCCCAACTCTTGAACATCTCGCCGCAGGGCAATCAGTTCCTCCCGTAAGTCACCGGTCTTGTAATACTGGAAGAGAGTTTTAGCATTTAAAGTGATTTCACACTCTTCAATATTCCAGCTTGTGTCAACATAAATGCGGCATAGAATATAGTTATTCATTCTCTGAAGATGAAATTACTACTGTAATTTGATAACTTAAATTTTAATCATTACCGCTAATGGGTCATTAGGGAGACATTCCAATAAGAACGTGCACAAATTTTTTCCAACTTTACTGTCCCATAATTCAATATTCCCAAGTCTGATCTGAACCAAACTTTGTATGTTTTCAATTTAGACCCTAATCTATCATCTCTCAAAATTTGGACAGTGAAATTCAGCCTCCTTCTAGTAGTTTGAAAATAGGGAGACACTGAAATGTCTCCCTAAAAGCCAATATCTCCCTAATGCTGAAAAATTTACCACAAAATGTCTCCCAAATGACCTATTTGTAAATATAACTCTGTTTGCAACTGTTTATAAAATAATAACCAATCCTGCATTGACACTGGCTAACCAAGATAAAACAGTGTCAAATGAAGTGGAAGCAAATTGAGGTTAACTTTCAACTTTATTAAACAAGAAAAAAATAATAAAACAAACTTACCCCTTTAATTTTAAGTCTCAATAAAACAATTTACCAGATACATACTGTATAACCTGTGTATATTCTGATGTTTGAATTTTAATTACAAAATAAATATATGAAACATTGAGAACAGTTCCATGTGCGGACTTCAGTAATTTCCCTGCAGTGGTTCATTAACCAGCAGAAAGTGATATCGTCATAAATTGTCAGATTTAGTTGAGAAATATTGAAGCATTTCGGCCCACTTTAGAAAACACTTAAAATTTTCAGCCTGGGGGTTTGCGTATTTTTATTTGTTTAATAAGTCGACCGTTATACACATCTTTTTCTTCAAAATATCTTTATCACAGGGGATTCAAGCCAAACCCAGGTAATGATACATCAGTTTACCTGTGAATCAGCCAGTATCCCAGCGACATTCTGGCTGACGATCTCCATAGCTTCGTGTATCGTCTCCGCAGCGGACGCATGGTCGATCAGGCTGCCGCTGTTGTTGCTGTGACTGATCCCGACTAGGCGAACGGGCTTGTCCACCGGGATTCGCACCGCTGGCAAGGCAGCTGTGTCGGTCTGCATCGCGCAAAACTAGCCTATTACTGTAAGAAATTTCCCGAGAAAATTTCTGTCCTACGCAGACAAGCAGTATGACAAATTACCGCAGGTTTATCTGCAGATTCTGCTGCAGTGCGTGCAGATAACATTAACCAGCAACTTAACAAGAGGAAGCGCGCGCTGCATACACTGAATGTATGCTGTTGCCATATCGACAACCTTTCAACTCACCGCATACAATATCTATGCACCGCCTCCTGAAACCTATGCTTCCAACATGAAACTTTCAGAACCAGACTTACAAAAGGTCGTAAGTTGGTGTCTCTGAACATGCGCATCACGCCTAGCAGCAGACGTAAACAAGATCAATCGTCTGCTTCCGTTCCTCTTGTTCGCATGGTTTGGCAAAGCTTGGTTGGAGTGAGATTGTTTCATTAAATTTGAGCAGAAATAGCCCTCAAACGGTACACGTTCAGATACGAAGCCAAACAACTAAAATCAAGTTCCTGAAATCTGCAAAATGACTTCAGCAAATCCGGCTACCCCACTGACGAGAGCGGAGTTTAAGAATGCCTGCACCAGCGTTTTGCAGGGGCTCGATTGCTTGGCTAGACAGCGGGCTTTGATAGATGACAATCTGGCCGAGGGATTACAGGAGCTTGGTCGGGTTGTCAGCACACTGCAGCCTGAGATCGACAACAATAAGGAGTACTATGTGGATGGTCCTCTTGTAAGATGTAAGTTTAATTCGATTGGCTGATTGGTGTATTTCACTTTTTGCAACCTTACCTTAGCCATAGAGCAAGGAAATACCTAACCTAGGGAGGCTCATAAATTTTGCAAATTTTTGTTGCTGTTTTATTTTTGAAGTGGTGTCATTAGGAATATTTTGATATAGGCCTAGGCCTGGGCTAAACTTGGATTCCATCGGACTCTGCAAAGTAAAGAAAAATTTATTTGAAGTGGGGATGTTTTTAGATGTGTTTTGTACAAATGTAATGCAGAGCAAACTGTGATTATTTTGTACACAAAAATGAGTGTGGATTTAACTGAAAACCTCAGAATTCATATTTTTGTAAAATATTGTTCCTATTTGTGTTTTCTTTCAAATTCAGTGGATCAAATGCTGGCTTCAGTTTAAATTTCAAACATGTTGAAATCGGAAATTAAATAGAGGAGCTACTGTACAGCATGCAAAAAAACCTGAAGTTAATGCACGTCCCTACCCTAGCCCCTTGCCGGCCCTTGTAAGCAGGCTTTTTAAAGTGAAGTTCACTTCAAAAAGTATTTACAGAGACATTATTTTTTATTGTTTTTTATTTATTAATAAATAGCTCACAAGTTACAGTTACAGTTTTAGAGGTGGGAGGAAAATCCAAGAGGAATATTATGGGTAAAACCAACAGAATCAGGTAGGGACTGAAAACCCAATCCACATGTGAACTGAGCCAGGATTCGAACCTGGACCGCAGAGGTGGAAGGCGAGGAAAGAACCACTACCCCAACCTGACGCCCCTGGCGTCAGGCCTTTGGTAGGCCTTACACTAGGCCTGTTTCTGCAATGAAACCCCGTTTCAGAAAATTCTAGAAACATAACATTGTACTGCAGATATTTCAGAAAGGAATGTCAACCTTTTGTTTTGTTCTTTACAGTTTTGACAGCACACATCTCTAAAGCTAAAGCTGTGATTCAGGAAATCAAGCGCACCTGTAGTGAGAGAAGTGCCAACTACCATGGCGTCGAGTACTGCAAGGATCATAGTGCACAGCACCTTCAAGAAATCCTGGCAGTGTTAAATGTAAGAGCCTGCTGTTTCTCCCTGGTCTCCAATTGCTCCACACTCAGCGGGGAGGAGGCCTACAGAGCTCAATTGCAGAATACCCAGCCACCCAGCATGATCCACCTCATAGCCAGCTATGAGGTCAAAATGTCACGCTATTCCCATGGGCATTTTTGCCTCACACCCACCTAACTCGAGATTTCAGGGGTGTATTTTCAAGTGATGGGGTATTCTGGAATTACTCCATTTCAAGATGAAAATTCCCAATTGAAAATTCTCATATTTTCTACAGTTCAAGTCCAAATATTTTTCAAGTTGAAGACTTAGCTCGTGATCACTATATGGAATTGTTTGTTCCGTCTGTTGTTCAAACAGTACATAACACTTGAAACTACCGTAATTTAGTAATCCAAGTTGTTTCCTTGCTTCACAGGAACTGAATGATTTCTATAAGCACACAGTCTTCCGTCAAGACACGCAATTTGTGGACAACCGAGTCGCGCGTAAGATGACTCCCAGCCAAACTCGCTCGGCCAATTCAAGAGTCACATTTGCTGACCAGCAGCCTGGCAGTGGAACCAGACAAACACCCAATAACACAGCCGCCTCAACAGCGGCCTCATCGGACAGATACACAGGCCGCACAGGCCTGGCCTCCCCCTCGCTGGATCAGCCTGTCCAAGTCTGGACGGCAGGGAGCGTAGGCAAGACGGCTGATCCCAGCACCCCGGGTGCATTTGAGCACATCCGAGACATGACCCGGAAGGACGTTCACCTTGAGAACTGGCCCAAGGATGATAAGGTGCCACCCAGCCTCATGGATAGAACAAGACCCCCTCTTGGTGAGTTTATCCAAGACACAGCAAAATGTTGTAGCAAGAAACAGCATCCTTGCCAAGAAGTAATTACTGTGCTGATGTTACGTAAACTTTACAAAGATAAAATTTAGATATTCTAGAAAGTTTAAAGTTGAAAAAAGAAGATTTAAAGTAGAAGAAAATTCACAAAACAGAAATTCACATTGTCTTAACCCAAAATGTTTGGAAGGAATGTAAATAGCATCCCAAATCAACAACGCCACAGTATAGAAAATGAGTATTCTGTAGCAATCAGGAAACAATGATGCCTACAGCAAATATTTTTATATGTAACAAACGACTCCACACATTATGCCTTCTTTTCCTGTGTTCCTCATTTGTGGACAGCGAGAGTAACTTTCCACCTCACTTCACTCCCCCCCCCCACAGTCCATCCAGGTTTACGTGATGTGCATAACTACCGCAACCTGCCACAGTTCACCGGCATCAACCTGCCCGTCAAGCAGGTGCCTGTGGGGGAACTGGCTCTGCCGGCCCCCCATGTGCCTCACTGGGACTACCACAACAACTGCCGATACTGAAGGGGGAATCACAGAACTTATTCCAACTAGAGTGAGCCAGTCCCAGTGGCTCAACCTCTTTGGAAAAACATTTGGGAAAAACGTGGATAAATAATTAGAAACTTTACATTGACAAACCACTTTCCAGGAGGAATTTTACGAGCTGGATTAACAAGGTTATATTTGAGTCACTGTCACTCTACGGAGCATGCATAGCAACATTTGGAAACCTTTGTTGCTCTGGACTCCTATCAACAATGCATACCGCTTTTCGCATTGAAGAAAAGGAAAAATTTCCAACGGTGTGAGACTTAAGGCTTTGTTCTAGTTACAGTGCCATTTGGTAAGTAGTGTAAATCGGTCAATACTGGAAAGTGGCACATTTACATTGCTGTATGCACTTATGTACAGTGAAGTGCTTAACTTGTTGACGAGACAAGAATTATGTACTGGCATGAGAATAAATGGGCACTCTTAAAGTCACCATCACAGGCTTGATACTGCTGCATAATATGTGTTCTATGCCCCATTTACACAGCAGACATTTGGAATAAGCAAAAATACAAACTAAAACAACACAAAGAGTGCTGTGATTGAACTTTACAACCCTAGCAATTCTACAGGCCAAGGGTTATAAGGTTATAGGATTGGTTACAGGAGGAACAAACTTGCTAAATCCTTGCAGGAAATAAAGGATTTAAATCAATCTGTGACATGTTGCCATCTGCCATGAAACAGAATGCCTATTTTGTCCATAAAAGACAAACTGAAGTACTAGTTAAAAAGAAAAAAAAACTGCTTCTGAATTTACCTTGCTTCAGATCATAAATTTGTAAAATAATTGCTTTCTTGGAAGATGTTACTTTCCCGTATAGATTATTAGCTATTGAAAAAAATAATTAACGGCACATTATCATTTGAATTGTACAATATAATCATTTATTTGCTGTTTCTTTATAGGAGCTTACGATGCATAAAATTAATTTGTTACATCCTTCTGCAATAAGTTTCAATGTACACATCAGTTTCATGTGAGTTCATACTTTCAGTTCACAGACTTGTGAATAAAGGCAACACTTCTTATAATGTGAAAACCGTGGAATGTGAAAGTTTGTCATTCTTTTTTTCCACACATCAGAATTTTTCTTGTTGCCACATAAAACACATTCCACACAAAACAGTATGCTACTTTCTCAGGGAAATAAAGACACCTTAAACAGATGATTAAATTGTTTATTTTTGAGAGGCAAAAATTGGCCAATCAAATTGCTTAAAAATAGAGATGCCAGAGTAAAATTTGCTTGGTTTTGGTACATGGAGGGGTTTTGTAACTTAAGAAACTGAAGGCCAGGCTATACTTGACGTGAACATGAAAGCAAATTGACTTTGACTTCCCAAAACATTTGCCGCAAACTTTGCTTGAGTTGAAATGTATTCAAATTTTGCAAATTTGCAGCACAAATATTTGATATGTCACAATTTCATGTCTCTGTTTGCTTTTGAGCCAAGCATAATCTGGCCTTTTACAATACAGCTTCCTTTTTTTTTGGTAACTATGCCTCCACTTACACTACCCACTTGGTTTAGTGAACATTTTCATTTTCATGATTTGTTCGCCGAGTACACACATGTGCATTAATTTATAAAAACTATTGAGATGCACTATGCGAAGTTGACTGAAACAAATAGCATTTCTGCAAGACGACATCAATGCCGACAACAAAATGATCAAATCAACCGCACACTCTCACAAATTTCAAAACCAGATCTTTGAAAACCCTATCCATCCTAATAAATTTGGCAGCTTTGAATATGCAGAAGCGTACATTTTGGTAGAGCATACTGAAATGTGTTACAAGAAATACCATGTATTCAGAAAAAAGTACATGTATATTGTACACTGAAAATGTACACTTTAGTAGACTCGTTCCTAGTCCTCAGGAACTGTTGATACATGCTGGTAGTAATACACACAACACACGATTTCCCTATAAACTTCATAGCTGTTTCATTTTTTCAAAATGAAATACAGTTTTGTGCAAACTAATGAGAACCCTCTGACATCGTCTCTGGTAAAGCAATTACAAAACTACTGAGGCAAAAACAAGAAGATGGCATTAACTGTAAAAGGTTCCCAACGGATTTTCCTGTGAAGGCTTTTCTTGGTACAGCACAGTGATCAATAGTTTGAAATTGTGCCATATAAATACCTATAATAATATCATAACCAGCTTGCATCAGCTCCAAAATGCTGTTCGTCAGTCTTGGAAATGTTCCTTTACCCAAAGGAATTTCTCGTTAGTTAATCACGAGTTATTACAAAAGACCGTACAAAAAACTTATCATCCAAATTTGATGTTCTGAGAAGTATTCCTCAACGTGCATCTCTTTTCAAAAGTTAATGTTTGATGATCTCTTGGATTACCAATGTCAGTGTGAAATTCTACACAGAGCAACACGAAACCGCTTCTATCATTAGCATGATCCAAACAGAAAGTGTGGTTTCCCTCAAGTACACACGTGGCATGTTTAAAAGGGCCCCTCATAAATCAGTAAAAGTGTTTGTCAAAGATCCACTCTGCAAGATGTGAACATTATTTTGGTTACAGCCTCCATTCGATTAGAATGGATAAATGTTTAAGAGTAGACCACTTCCACATTACCAGATTGAGACCCCCCCCCCAAAAAAATGTGACTATGGTAAGCCAGCTGATGGCTGCATCCACTTCCCGCAAACACATCTGCTGCAGACAGCCACAGCCATAACATTTAGATGAAGTCTTAGGCTATCCAAGGCTTTTACGAGAACATGGGGGACTAGTCCACCAGTGTACATGTATTCTTATAGAGGAATATGAATTCTTACAGAGAAATATGAAACATCTTCATCTATGTATGCTAGTCCCCCCCCACTATTGAACAAACCAACAAAAAAGTAATCTTTATTCCCTTCTTATGACTGTACGTTCTTGAAATATAGCAACTCCTCAGCTCAGCGCCGTTGAAAATTTAAAAGTTAAGATTATTTCTCATTTGTAAACATCCTATTCCTGATTCTAATCAAATCTACCTCGTGACAAAATGGAAACAACTCTCAAGGTTGATTTCCCTGTAATTATAAGAAGAATAGAAAACCAAAATTTCTTCTCTCTTGAAGCAGTGGCCAAGACAACAAAATGATTTTAGTATAAAGCTGCATATTTTAACTTAGATCTACTATGATTCAGTTTCAGCAAAATAATTTTTTTATGTACAAAATCTGCTTGACATATTTTACGACCACAGACATCTGTTGTATCTTGTGATTTTTCTCTTTATGCAAAACCGCTTTCAGGTTTCACACTCCGACCACATGGGAGACAAGGTATATGAATATGTAACACATGCAAATTAATATTTCTGAAAACCCACTTTGAAGAGACATTACCCATTTTAAAATCTAACCCTCCAAACATTTGTAAACTTCCATTTATGTACATAATCACATACTGTATTAATTTATATAGTTGTATTAGTTCTGGGTGCAATCCATTTTGTTAGACACTAGATGGCACACAGTGAAAAAAGGAATTAATTTAGATCAGTAATTTGTTCAAAACTTGGACAGATTTTACAGGAATGAGGCCATTCAGCTACTGTTCGTGATGTTACAATAACACTTTGCCATAAAATTCTATGTGGAAATGACATCGGCTGGTAGCCAGTTTGCTGAAGAAAATATAAGTGGGATGTAAGCAGACGTTTAACAACAGAAATCTGGAATTCCACACTTCTGATGGTAGTTTTGTGATTATGAATCTTGCAAGAAACTTCCAATCAGTTTGGCTCGAATCAAGACTCCTCTGCCGTTTCCTGATTGGGGTCTATGGGGGGTGGAGCACTAGGGACAGAGGAGGATGTGCCTTGTGTAAGATAACCAGCCACCCCAGGACCTGAAACAAATTGCACAAACAAACAAACAATTCAGAAATCTGACACAATGAGATGTCATACAAAGACAAGAGGGCTGGATTGTAAAAACGGACCTTTACACTTCAAGAACCGAGCAACACTTTTAAATTCCTGAAAACTTTCTTTCCTCAGTCACAGAACTAAAAGCAGGTAATGAGAGGTCTGCCCCGAAATACAACTTATTCAGAACACAAAATATGAACAGGAAAACAGCCTAAAATTTTGTGATTCACAAGTTAACCTTGTCATCAAATGAATTGACGAGGAAAAGGAAATGATTGCAGGCTGACTTATCAACCCACCTGTGAGGTAGTAACCAGAGACTGACCAATCAACCCACCTGTGAGGTAACCAATAACTGACCAATCAACCCCCCTGTGAGGTAACCAATAACTGACCAATCAACCCACCTGTGAGATAACCAGTAACTGACCAATCAACCCCCCTGTGAGGTAACCAGTAACTGACCAATCAACCCATCTGTGAGGTAACCAGTAACTGACCAATCAACCCCCCTGTGAGGTAACCAGTAACTGACCAATCAACCCATCTGTGAGGTAACAAGTAACTGACGAATCAACCCACCTGCGAAGTAACCAGTAACTCACCAATCAACCCATCTGTGAGGTAACCAGTAACTGACCAATCAACCCACCTGTGATGTAACCAGTAACTGACCAATCAACCCACCTGTGAGGTAACCAGAAACTGACCAATCAACCCACCTGTGAGGTAACCTGTGATGTTTGTGTTGGACAGGAACAGGTCATGCTTCTGGTCTCTGTAGGAGGACCATACCGTCGACTTCTCCAATATTGCTGTCACCTGCACACCAAACAAATGAGGAGAACTTTAAGTCTACAACTGGTGGGTTTCAGAGATGTCACAAGTACGGTTGCCTTCATGTGGTATTTGAGCCTATTTCCAACATTCTGCCCCCCACCCTACCAAGTTAATCCCCCACCAAGAAATGTGTTCTGCATCTGTCCTTGGTTTTAGATACTGCTGAATTGAGTTATTCAAAGAACATACTGGGATGATATGCAATGGCAAATGTGAGGGGCTGGCAGTATACTGGAGCCACTTCCCTTCATCCAGGCAAATTTTGGGGGGGAGGTTTATAGGGCTGTGCCAAATATCCGAATAACCCAATATTTGAATATTATTTTTCGAATTTGAATATTCGAATGCAAAATTCATGAAAAGGAAGGGAAAATTTTCTTTTGTTTTAAATGAGAAAAATTGCACTATGGAGGCTTGTCACAAGCAGATTCAAATGAAAAGCATCAGAAATCTTACAACAATTTAAAAAGTAAATTATTCATTAAACAATTTAAAAGGAATAGAAATTGTCAACTGGGCAAGAAGTCTTGTTCATCTCTTAAATTTCGCTAAATCATGGCTGGAGATACTCCTAGACGTGAGAAGCTATAATATTGATCATAATGAACAATTGTATGTTGCAACTGATTTTGTATATGATTTGTTCATCAACAATCTGCCGGTCGGTGCAACCGAATATTTGGATATTCAATCAAACTGAAGGTCGAATATTCGAATAGTAGATAATTCGAATTGACTCAGCCCTATAGGTTTTTGAATTTTTTTACTATTTCATTTCCTTTCTGTCCCAAAGCGTGTAAGAGGTGCCTGAAGTTAGCTTCACCCCTGGAAAGAAAGGTCACAAAAGGTCACAAACAAATTCTCAATTTTTTTGTCCCCCCCTCCTTTAGACATTTGGTGAACTTAAATTTTGCTTCACTCTGTTAACCCATTCACGCCGGTATTCTTTTGACCACGACTGCTGGGCTGCGATATGCCCAGTATGCAAAGCCCTGTCCAGCAGCCGGCCCATATTGAAACCGCAAGTCCATTATCAATAGAGTGTGTGTGTGCTATGCACTAATCCTCACACAAAGCGGCGGCTGTCGACGTCTCCCGGAGCGAAGGGGTTAAGCAACAAGAAATGCTTCTAAATGTTTCTGAATGCCTTGGCATACACTACAGAACCGATAACCGGTAGCTTCGCGGCCCGCTACAAACCTGCTCTCCATACTCCAAGCAGTTGGCCATGGCCTTGAGGGACTTGACAATCTGTGCCTTGGTGGCAGCAGGGTTGTCTAGCGAGGTGAGGCTGTCCGTCAGCAGACCCAGCAAAAACGTCACCAGATCACTGTCTAAGGCCTGTAAGATTAACACAGATGCACAGATTGAGTCCCGTCTCAATAAATCTTGCAATGGTAAAATTATCCAGAAAGCTCCTGTAAAGTATGAGGCAAACAGTGCTTTGAACATTTTGCCGATCAAACTTGTCAAAAATATTGCTGTAAATTTACAAATCTGTGCTTGCTGTCAGTAGACAGTTGAATAGAGACAATGATGTGGAACTTTGAACTCCATCAACAAACTTCGGGAGGAAACAGAACAAACATCTTGGCAGTGCAAATATACACAACGTCCTGGGGACTTCAATTCTGGAAAAGCCTCTATTCCACGAGTGCTTCCAGGCATAAACATCTTCTCTTTTTGCTGCTCTGAACACGCACCTGTTTGACGAGGTCGGACTGATCTTTCTGGAACATTTTGTGTAGGCTGTCGCAGGCCACAGCCGTCATGTCAGGTCGCGTCTTCATCCCTGCAATCATCGGCCCGATGCAATCACTCTGGGCCATGCTGCGCACGCAGATCTAAATCACCAATTACACCCCCCAAAAAAGCAGGTATTAGCACCAACAAGCAGTATGGAAATCTCACAGCACAGCACACTTTCAAAAACATTGCCTAACAGTAAATTTATGCTTGGATAAAAATCAATAGAGAACCAGACATGGCAATTTGCATCATACGTCAAGTTGACTGGTAATGTGTGTTTGCTCAGTGACAGTTTCTTTAGCTTGTTCGGTCTCAGTCTTCTTTTTCATACAAATTCCAGACATTTTGAAAGGCCTTATCAAAAAAAATTGAGCTTCTGGGTCTGTTAATTTTCTACGAACAACAAATGACACAAGTGCTCACATCGTCCTCTACGATGCTGTTGACGGCAATAATCGCAGCCCGCGGGATTGCGTCATTCTTGGACTTCATGGAGGTGAAGATGGTGGGTATGTGACCCAGCTGGGGCAACTGAGCCGCAAGGTTGGCTTGGGCCTTGAAGAGACTGACCACTGCAGATGTCACCATCTCCAGCTCGTCACCCTGGAGGGCAAAGACATGCAGATGCTCTGACGCTCAGTCAACATTTCATTTCGGAACTCTAAAGGCCATTTCACATTATTATCTTGCCAATGCATGCTGTCTGCGCCCAACAGAAGTGGGCCAAGGTCACATCAAACCAAGGCCTGCAAGGCACCAAATAAGAGTTTGTGCCTAGATCGGCTGTGATTTTCTTAACTGGTAAAGCCTGTCAGTCCTGGTCTTGACCAGGGCTGCATTTTAACTGTGAAACTTGGACTTCTTCTGAACAGTGTTGCATTCCTGCTAATGTGAAAGCTTTTCTGCAATCTTGAGGTTTGACTCTGGTCCAAAACTGACATTTTGAACTCTGTGAAAAGTCTTGTACACCAACAGGTAAAACACATGGGCAGACAACAGTAGCAGTCTTAAAGCAGTCTGCATGTTTATTGCTTCGGGATGTTTACTAAACCATGCACTCAAAGCAAGAAGGAATCATGGACTTAACCATAACCAAGCACTACTGTTTGACAAAACATAAATACTGTTTCACACTGTTGCATTGCTTACATTGGGTGACTTCTTCTGTAGCAGGTCGGTGAATTTCTCCATCAAGGCCACCATAAACTCCCGGGGTTTGCGCAGGACCCACGTGGGCTGGGAGATGAAGAGCCGCAAGAAGACACCTCCTACCACCACCTCACCTTCCGTGTCCACGTAGGCCACGGAGAAGGTCTCGGGAAGCTTCCATGTGGTGTCAATGTCTGCGTTCTGATTCACATAGTGTCTGCAGGGACAAGGTCAAAAACAGTTGTGAGCATTTTGAATCACATGTTGGGGGCCTAACAAGGACTTGGCTTACGTTTGAGGTTTGAGGCAGAGAGCAGAGTGGTAGCCAAGATGGTGATCACAAGCCATCACGAATTAATCACAAATCATCAAACATACGTGAAAGCTTAAGATTTTCGTTCACGAAAAGGTGAAAACTGCATTCTGTCTTATCTATCACTCTGTTACTTGTGACCGCACTCATCATCAGGCAACTAGTCAGACTTGTGATGGACTAAACTACAACTCTGGTAAAGACAGCCTTCAGAAACAAGGATCAAGACCTAAAAAAAGACCAGGCTTCCATTGCACCAGCAATGCCTCACGCTCGTTTGACCTATTGCCCTTTGAGAATTGGCATTCTTTGTTCATTTGCACCGCTAGACTGTAGACTTACTTGTTCTTATGCCCAAATATATTTTTCATACAGTATGACAAGCAAGTCCTTGTAGTTTGGATGAACATTAAAGGTCTATGGAAAATGTCCCATACAGGAAGCTCTTCCACGCAGTCAACCCCTAACATCAAAGATGCCACAAGAGATCTCCGATACTCACTCATCTTTCATCCTCTTAACTGTCGCGGAGACTTTCTCCCTCGCCTCTTCATTCCAAATCAACTCCGGATTTTCATGAACGCCTTCAATGAGAAAAACAGGTGTCAACAGACATTACACGACTGCTTAAAAATGCTGATTAATTAGAAGGACCCGTCCATAAAGTGTGTTCTAAAGATAGTACGTGAATGTACAGGAAAGTGGATTTCCCTCCTCTCGCTGCCTATTTGAGGGTTAACTAGGTTTGTTAGCCTAGCAGCCCCTACTCACATCATTTGTAAAATAAAAAGGGAAATGGATAAAGAGCGGGAATAAGTTGTCTGTCCATCTACTGTGCTGCTTGTTTGTCCGTCAGTCTGACCAAGCACCTTCAAACATATGTATGCTGGCCTCCGGACTGTCCCGCATGGCGTCCATGAAGATGGGTGGCAGGAACTTGCAGAGGAGGATGCGGATACGAGGCCCCATCAACTTGTCTGACTGCATCTTGGCAAAGAGCTCGGCCGACTTCTCCCGGACATTGGGGTTGGGCGAATTGCAGAAGAGGTCTAGTACATACACCAGGCCACCTGGATGGAACATAATGTTCATTTCATTTTAAATACAGGTACTATCTTTGCAGTAGGTTTTTTTTGGGGGGGGGGCCAGGGGGCTGAGGAGTGCTTCCAAAAACTCTACAGTGGCTCTTGTTACGTTGTCAAATTTCATCACAAATGGTGACCAGTAAATCAATTTTAGAAAGAACACAGAGGACTAAAAACAGAATAATCTTCCAACTAGTAAAAACATAAATTTTAACTTAGTAAACCAAGGTACAGAACAGAAATTAAAAATATTATTTCAAAAAGATTCAACTCTGGATTAAATTCTCAAGAACAAAATAACCAAAATTCTCATGACTTGTCATTCTTGTCAATGGAGGCTCGTGTGAGGGTAGCACTGAAGAAATTTACAGACCTTTGGCAGTTATCTCTTTGATGATCTTGGTGTTGGAAGACAGAGCATTCAGGGTCTCAATCACTGTCAAGCAGCCTAGACAGAGAAACAAAGAAACTCTCATGAGCTGACTTCATCCATGACAAGCAATTAACGGTGGGTGAACACATTTCCCATTTGACAACATTTTCATTTCCTTGTCTTCTTAAATCAAAATCACCCTCAAAGAATTTGCTTGGGACTTTCAAGGATCAGAGATGTAAAGTAGGCTCCCAAACTTTCCCTTGAAATTTCAGGCACACTAGAACAGTGCACGCACATACACGATACCACACTGGCTCTGGAGATCTGTGACACATTTTTTCAGGCTGGGCCACATCTGTGAAGATTTCTTGTAGTATGGAAAGAATGTTTTCCAAAAAGATTGAAAAACCCTTTTTAAAAAAAAGAGAAACAGGTAGGTTGACTGACCTGATGGTAGAGAATGGAGAGTAAGAAGCAGATATGGAAGTACATTTGAGTCGGCAATGTTGGCCACACATTCCTTGTTGGTTGTGACATTCCGTACCACCTGATATAGAAGAGATTTCCATCCAAACAGTTAATGAACCAGTCTGGAATTTCAACAAAGTGAGGGTATTTAAGAACAAAGCCATTGTTCATGTTCAGTGTATGTGCGGTGGAATACAGCCTCCCTGATAAGACTGAAATCTTGTGTGCATATTAAAGAGGGTAGGGTAAGGAAAACCTTCTTTCCCCAATTACAAGCTTTAAACACGAGGTGACAAGACCAGCTTCCAAAATTAACATGAAAAAAGTGGAACAGTTTTCCCATTCACAATCGAAAAGAAATGTCAAAAAAGTGGGCTTCCGCGAGACCCCTTTTCACCGATTTCAGAAACACTTATTATGTATCAATGATATACCTCTGACCCTAAAAGGTCACAGGGAGATATGGCTGTAAACAGGGTGCATCTTCACACACAAGTCTAGCAGTAGAGGCATGCTCAAAATGCTAGGTTCTTGTACAGTTCTGGTCCACCACATTGATTGTTCCATACATCAAGTTTAAGTGCATGATTTATTGTCTTTTTGTCATAAAATAAAACGTATCCTGGTCTCGTGCAGTTCCAACACAAACACAAAATTTGACCTCGCATGTTTCTGAAATTGGCCCAGTTGGTTGCGGACCGGAATTGCCTCTTATTTCTCTCATGTTGATTTTCGGCAAATAAATTGATTGCACACTGGTTTCTGAGTGGCCAATCTACCTCCAACATCCTAGATGTCGCACTATTTGAAGCTTTTTCCCTACCTCTTTAATGTTCTTGACTGACTTGCAACATGCTTCACCCTGAGGAAGCACTGCTTACATACTAAACAAGCTCATAAATATCGGGGTTGGAAAGAAATAGATTTTATGAAACCTTCTCACACCTGGTGGGCATTCCACCCTCCGTCAATTTCAGATATCCACAGACAAATTTTCTCTTTAATCAGACGGCCAACATGCCTTAGGTATTACCTCTAGTGCCAGCATTTGTAGCTTGGTAGCACCAGTCAGCTTCAGTAAGGAGAAGAGGAGTTTGTAATGTCCATTGCACTGTATCTCGGTACCTGCAAAATCAATCAAATCCCTTCCACCTGTCAAGCTAAATAGGCAGCTTAGGCCAACCCTTATGATTCCATCCAATACTGGTTTTTTTCTTGACTATAACAGCGCCAGAATTCCGTTTTGCTAGTGTCTGATTTACAATTAAATATAGTATTTGTGGCAATTATGGAGATGCACTATACTAGATTTGAAATTGACCAGACAGAGTGAGGCAAAAATCACTTTTAATGAAACTGATTTTTTTCCCTACTCTTTTCAAAGTTCTTGTAAAATCTACAGAGGCATAACTGGGCAATAGTTTTTCACTTAATTAACCAAATGCGTTCCTAGAACTTTCAAACAGCTGATTAACAATAATTGCCTCAAATCCTCCAATGTTCAGTAGTATAAATTTGTCACAAATCTTTCCACCGAAATGACATCTACAACTTACGAAATAAATTAAGAATCCAAAAACTTCTCAAACTGATAGTCCATGGCAAACTTAGTAAAAACAAAGTCCTTTGCTTATCTAATGTGATCGTGTCCTAATGTGGTCGTGGCTGTAGCCACTATTGCAGACTTGTGTGCAGTGTCAAGCAGCAGCCAAGTCATTGGAATGTGGCCTGATTCTGTGTATGACTTACCAGGGTTGTTCTTGATGACGTTGCCCAGTGATTCCAAGGCCATCTCACAGTCACGTAGCCGTTTGGCCTGGGTGCTGTTTTTACTGGTGTCTACCGCTTGGGATGTCAGGGCCATCAGGGAGTGCAGGTACTAGACACAGACAGGATGACAGAAGGAACAAAGCTGGCTTTGAGGCTGCATCAGATTCTCTTGCCTAGGGCTAGGTCTTGCTCTTTGTCCATTGGGAATAAGTGGACAACAGACCAAGCCATAGCCCTTGAAGCCTGTTTACAGCCTTATCTTCTATTGTTATTGAAACTATAAGAAATGGACATACTAGACACAAATGGCATGGCAGAAGGAAGAAAGTTGGCTAGAGATTATGCTACAAGC